TCAACATCAAGTCCACCACAAAATAGCTGATTGTCATCATAGTTGGGAACAGTAGGAAATCCAAACCTCCAGGCGCTCGATCGGGACGGCGGGTCGGCTATATAGCCGTGACCACTGGACTCGTCAACTAAAACACTGCAATATAATGCGATAAATATTGTTAAAAGTATCAGTCTCATTTTTACAAATGGTACAGTATGAAAGTTAGCAATTCATTTTTAATTTATAGTGTTTTTATTGATAATTTTTAAACATTTGGCAAACTTCTCATACATCAGGAATTGTTTGCTTCATATTAATTGTTGACATTTAAAATTAGTTTTATTACAAGTTTTAATTTAACTTTTATATTTTAGACATTTAATTTACTAATTTAATTTAATTTAAACATAGTTAATTATCACAAGTAAAATTTTTAATTTCATTGATTTATGAGTAGAATTAAGAATATTCCTAGGCTATAAATTAAATATTACCTGATTACCCCAGTTCATTTATTGTCTTGTGATTTCGTAATAAATATGATGATAATCTTGTTTTTAAATAATACTTTTTTATTATCAAAAGTGTGTGTTTTCCACAATCAATTTTGTAATATAAATCTTTTTATTTTATACATTTGTTACTTGCATGCAGTACATTAAATCACCTTTATAATTAATACTTCTGTCCAAAGAGCAGTGTACTTGTAATGAAATTTAATTCTATTTATTTGCAGATAATTTTAAATAATTAATTTGATTATAGGTTATAAATGTTACATAAATAATAAAAACTTTTATTCATGATCAATATCATTAGTTACATGCAACAAATAAGTTATAATTTTTTTAAACAACTTGTTGACTAGAAACATATAATTGGTTATTTAGTAAAAATAATACGGTAGCTCACATTTTATTTTAATTTATGGCTAAATATTACATTTATACTTGGCAATATAACGAAAATACTTTATTTTATAATTTTAAAGATACATGCTAATAATTATTGGGCAAATGTATTAAACACCTGGGTGAACTCAAACTCCTTTTGCTGAATACTGGAACAATTATCGTGAGGATCTTCATCAAGACTACTCCCTGTAGTACATTGTCTGTCTCTATTGACTGACCAAAATCCCAGATGACCTAGCTTATTTGCCTTAGCCCACTGAACCATTTGTTTGGCGTCATCCACCGTGAAGTACACCATCGGACCCTTAATATCATTGAGTCCTATCATAGGTGTCAGGCCTACCATACCATACAACTCCTGCTCGGACTTCTGGGGCCATATTTTGGCCATTTGTTTGGCGGCATTCTGTGCCACATATATGGCGGCCTCACCGTAATGTCGGCCCACTTTACTCGTGTGGTAATCCATGACCATTAGGTTCACGACATCCACATTAACCCCGTGTTTGGCCGCACTCTTGAGCACATCCACGCCCAACGGGTCGTTCATACCGTAGTCGTCGCCCTGAGTCTGTGGGTAGTGGTTATGGACAGGTATGTTAACAACATATTATGTGATTTAGTAGATATAATATAAACTATTTAATCTAAGCTTATGTACCAAGATGTAAAAATATCTGAATATAAATTCAATATAAATTAAATTCATTTAAAACTTCCAGCCTACAGTAAATCCTAGGTTAGTTATATTTTACTTATAATTTATTAAGTATTTTATTTATTGGATTAAAATCCTAATCTTGATTATAAATTAAATATTATTAAAATTAAATAATATTAACATTTTATATCTGATTATGTAAATAATTAATAAATATATATTTTATCTAATTTGTAAAAATTATTTAATTTAAAATTAAAATACTGACCATAACAGTAAAGCTAACGGTGACATTAGGGTTGGCCTTTTGAACGGCAGCTAAGGCCGGGTTCACGGTATCCAACGGTATCGACACCTCGACGTCAATGTCCAGACCTATAGCTCCCGTCACCTCCAGTACCCTCTTATAAGCGGCGGCGG